CCCCCCCCCACACACACACACACACGGAGGCCCTGCCACACGGCTGTCTGGCCGCGATTGGGCAGACTGGCGCACCCCCGCCGGAGTAGCTCTCCCAGCGCCGTCCCGCGAGCGCGACACCTCCTCGGCCTCGCCGCTCGGCCGGCCGCCGCTTGTCCTCCCCTCCCGCCCTGTAGCCCGCCGGTGCCCGGTGCCCTTCCGGCCGCGCGACACCATGACACAGAAGGTCCCGCCCCCGGGCGAGGCCGGCATGCCGGGCAACCGCCTGGACCTCGGGCAATTTGTCATGCCGAAGGCACTGGCGGCCCTGGCCGGGGCCATCGCCGCCGGGCCGCGACACGCGTCGCCGGAGTCCGTGACCGGTGTCCAGCCGTCGGCCCTGGGCTGGCTGGCGGCCACGAGCCAAGTCCCCGGGCCTTTCGGAGCGCTGGCCACCTTCGCGCCGACCTCGCTGGGGAATGTCAGCCCGCGGCATGCAACCACGCCCGGGGTCCAGCAGACCGGGCCGGTGGCGGGCCTCGGCACCGGGGCCGGTGCCGTGGCACATGAGGCGGCCGCCGCGGCCCGGCGCATCCTCGAAGACCCAGCTCGGGGGATCCTGCGCCGGGTGGCCGGCTTCAATGGGGTCCCCCCGGGGCCGGCCCCACGGAACCGGCTGCTCATCGACCCGGGCCCGGTGGCGGCGGCCGAGCCGGCCGAGGCGCCGGAAATCCTGTTCCACCCGCGCCAGACCCCGGCCGCGGGGGACGCCCATGCGCCGATCTCCCCGGTGGAGGTGGCCGCCGCGCGTGCCGGCGACGGCGGCGGCCCCCCTCGGGAGACCGGGCTGCGGTCCCGCCGGCCGGCTGCCGGCGGGCTGTCCCTCTCCTCCATGCACCTGGCGGCCGACGGGTCGGCCACCTTGTCCATCGATGGGGCCGCCCTTTCGTCGGATGGGGATGACGCGGCGGACCCGTCGGTCGCGCGGGCGAACGACCACCACCTGACGGCCATCGTGCCATTCATGTCCTCGGCCTACACGCCGAACTGGCTGATCCGCCTGGCGCAATTCACGGCCAGCCCGGCCGGCCAGCAGCCGGCCCGGCCGTCGGCCGAGCTCCAGGCCCCGAATGAGTCCTGCCACCAGTGCGCCCGTCGGGAGCCGCGCCCCGGCCGGCCGGCCGTGCGGAGCGGCTCCACCGGTGACCTGGTCGACCCGCTGCCGGTGCGTCTTGGTCGTTGGTGCCACTGAGGGGTGGCCTTTTTATTTTTTTTTTTGCTTTTGGCCGCCTGGGCCCCGTTTCGGCCGCTGGGCCGGGGGGGGGGGGGGGGGGGGGGGCCTGCCCGCCGGGGCATGCGCCCTGTCCTGAGACTGACTGGATGCCTGTGTGTGTGTGTATGATGTGCATGATCGATGGGGGGTTCCTGCTCGGCGGCTGTGGCTGTGCGGGGCCCACCCTGCCGCGTGCGTGCCGCGGTGTGTGCAGCTTGTCCGAGTGGAGCTGGCCGACATCGCCAGCTGTGGCGGCCTGCGCCTGGACTTGGAGATGGGCGCCGCGCTGGCGTCCTTCCTGCCGCCGATGGGTGGCGAGGCGTCCATCGACGGGCCGGGTGCCGTGGTCGGCCCTGGGCAGAGTGTGCCCTGCCCGTCGCTGGCCTGGGGCGGCCGCAGCGCGGCCCCGGGGGCCGACCCCGATGCGGCCGACCAGCTGGTGGCCTCGATCCTGGTGGAAACCAACGCCCCGGCTCCCGGGGAGGATGGGTACGGCGGCCCCGTGCGACGTGGGGTGGGCTGTCTTTTTTTTTTTTTTTTGCTTCTTCGCCGCCCGCTCTTGGCCGCCCATGGGGGCCCGGTTGTCCGTGTCTGACCCGCCTGCCCGGGCCCTCTCAGATTCTGCCGTGAGCGTTTCCGCCAATTGAAGTGCGTTCCTCACCCTGCGTGTTTCTTCCTTTCCTCCGGCCTCCGTGCACTCTCTGACCCTACCATATTTCGTCTGTATGTATGTATGTGTGTATGTGTGTGTGTGTGTGTGTGTGTGTGTGTGCGTGCGTGCGTGCGTGCGTGCGTGCGTGCGTGCGTGCGTGTGTGTGTGTGTATGTATCTGCGCATTTATCCGCGAATGTATCCGCGCATGTATCCGCACATGTATCCGCGCATGTATCCGCGCATCCATCCGCGCATGTATCCGCGCATGTATCCGCACATGTCTCTGCGCATATCCTGCTCGCCCACGTCCCGTTTGGGTGTACGCGCGCGCATGTGACACATGTGTATCCGGCTGGCACCCACTCGACGCAGGACCATCCAAACCTTCTCCCAGAGCCGGAATATGTCGGCCCTGCTGGAGGCCCCGGCCAAGGGCGGGCTCTTTGACGTGCGCGTGGTCCTGCGCCTGCCGCTGCCGGGGATCCTGGCCGAGGCGCTGCGCGTGCGCGGCATCGCCGTGGAGGACTGGCCCGCGGCCGGGGGCGAGTGTCCCGGCGGGCACCTGCGGCCGGGGTGGCTGCGAGTGGCCACGCACCATGGCCGGATCCAGCTGCTGGACCAGATGCGCCGGATCGCGGCCCCGGAGCCGGGGCCCCTGCTGAGCGGGCCATCCGGGCCCCTGTGGGACGCCCACGGCCCGGAGGCGCCGCTCAGCCACCAGCGCATTGTCACGGTGCTGCCGGGGCCGCTGCAGGCGTACCCGGTGTCGGAGGGCCTGTTGCTGGCCCTCGACGAGCATCCGGTGGCCGAGGCCCGTGGCAGTGGGGACGACCATGGGCGTGGCGGCCAGCCGCCGGCCGGGGCGGCCGCACCCGCCGGCATTGCCCATGGCGCCGACGGGGCGGACGCCCCCTTCCGCAGTCCGCGCATGTCCACCTTCGCCGAGTATCTGCCCTCCTTCGTGAGCCAGCTGCGCTCCTTCACGGCCACCATCGGTGGCGGCGGCGGCGGCGGCCACACGGACGGGGCCAGCACCAGCGCCAGCACCAGCGCCAGCACCAGCGCCAGCACCAGCGCCAGCTCGGACACCATGTTCTCGGCCGTGTCGGGCTGCGGGTCGGCCGATGTCGGCGCCCCGGGTGGTCCGGCGCGCGGCCGGCCGGCGGCCAACGGCCCGGTGGCCACGGCGGCCATCCTGCGCAATGCGCACCTCTGGCAGCCCTTCGAGGCGGCGGCCGGCAGCCCGACCGCCGGCGGCGGTGACGATGCCTGGTGGCATGGCCAGCTGGCGGCCGCGGCTCAGGCGGCCCCGGGTTTCTTCGAGAACCTCGCCGGCCGGCAGAAGGCCGGGCCAGCGGCGCCGGACGAGCTTGCGAGCCTCGAGCCCGGCGTCCAGTGGCTCCTGCAGATGGCCAGCCTCCGGCGGGCCGGCTACACGGCGGTGCACTTTGCGCCTCTGCAGCTCCGGTGCGTGTGCACAGAGGGATGTGTGTGCAGGGTTGGATGTGTGTGTGTGTGTGTGGCGGAGCACGAAAGGCAAGGGGGGCGGGCCAGTGCACGGATGCCACCCTGTGGCTGCCTAGCAGGCGAGCGGAAAGCCCCCAGGCCCCCTGCATGGCGGCTGGCCAGCACGCTTTCGCCCGGGGCTAACTTCTCTCCCCCCCTGCCCCCCCGCCCCTCGGTCGCTTGATCTCGGACTCCGGGCCCCGGGTGTTGGGCGCTCCCCTCGACGCGGCCTTGGCCCGAGTGTAGCGGCCCCTCGGACTCGGCCTACTCGCTGGCGGACCACTTGCGCCTGGATCCGTCGGTGGTGGCGGTGCTGCGGCGGGCACCGGCCGAGGGGGCGCCCCAGCCCCCGACGGCGGCCGGGCTCGGCTTCCAGGCCAGTGCGGCCATCCTCCGGCAGATGACCCAGCGCCTGGCGCGGGTGTGCGGCCTGCGCGCCTGCACCGATGTCGTGTGGAACCACGCGGCGGCGCCGCCCTTCCGGCCGATCTCCACCGACCTGGCGGTCATGCCGGTGGCCGACCGCCGGGTGACCCCCTCCGGGCCGCTGTCCCCCAACCAGGGCATCGACCATGTGTACCGGATCCTCAGCCCGGAGCTCCAGGCCGAGGCCAACCTGCACGACATCGACCTGGACTGCCCGCCGGTGGGGGCCGGCCCCGGGGGTGGGCAGCCACGCGCCGGGGCCGTGTGGCTGCGGGAAAACCCGGACGCCAGCTGGAATTTGTGGACCGCCCCGTGGCTGCGCCCGGCCTGGGAGCTGGACCGCGCCATCATCCGCTGGTCGGCCCGCAACCCGGGGGCCATCACGCACGAGGTACGCCCCTGACCGGGCCGGGCTGGGGTGGGGTTCTCTTTCCTGCCTTACTTGGGCTGGTCCTGCGGCAGATGCGTGTGTGTGTGTGTGTGTGTGTGTGTGTGTGTGTGTGTGTGTGTGTGCCGGGTGGCCCTCGCGGGCGTGTCCGTTGCATTCTCCTCTCCCCGACATGCGTTTGCTGACGCCGACATGCTGCGCCACGCGCACCGCCGCCGCCGCCGCCGCCGGACGGGGACACGGGCGCGCCTGTATACGTTGTCTCCCCCCATGCGCGTCGCCGCGGGGGCTCGCGCAGGACCAGATCGGCCCGATGATGGCCCGCTTCAAGGAGGAGGTCATCGACCGGCTGCGCCTCTGGGAATACTATGTCTACGATGTGGAGTGTGCGTGGGCAGACTGCCTTTCCTTGGCTGGCCATCCTGGCCGGCCCGGGGCGGCCGCCCTGGTGTTCGGGGTGGCTGCAGGGGCACCGATCGCGGCGCAGACCCCGGCCCCTGATCGCGGCGCAGGTCCCGGCCCCTGATCGTGGCGCAGGTCCCGGCCTGCGAGCACGGCCTTCACCCCGTCCGGGGCCCACATTCGCATGTCTGACCCCTTTTCCCCGGTGTGCCCCCCCCCC